TAGAAAGGAGTGAAATCACTTTCTTGTCTATTTTATAAAGTTATTGAGGCTTAAACTAGCTGGTGCATATACAAGTCTGTAAATCAGCAAACCACACATTTTCTAGAATCCTCACCCGCACTAAACACCGGCCCATTAGGAGAGCCCCACAAGCCTCAGCTAAAGGGACAACTGTTTACATCTAATCCGGCTTGCGTTCTTCCTCTAATTGGCTGCCTAAGTTCCAACCTATGTTTTAAATTTGTTTTAAGACAAAGATTTTGTTTGGTCACATGAAAATGCCTTAAATGGGCAATGCTATAATTAGCTCCAGCTGAAGCCTCATTTCCCAAAGTCACTACCGCTGTCGTCATCTTTTTTTTCTTTAATAGATCCTTCCCTTCTTTTGTCCCAGGACGGGCTCCTTGCTCCAATACCCTTTATAAAGAAAATTTCCCTGGCTGGCTGCCATCAGTTTCTCTGCCCACCTCCATTTTAAGTCATTTTTCCTCGACTGTTCCAATTCTTCTGAAAAAAGGACAGATACCAAAAATAGCTGGTTTATTTCTAAAGAAAACCTGACCCAATGTGTTGTAAGCTAGCAAGAGGTCTTGTATAGTCACGTGGCCTTCATTTCACCCATCACCCACTGTTAAGCACTCCTAGCTGATTCCTGAGAAACCCTAGCATCTCCGACTGATCCTCAGGGTCATATGAAGCAGCTGCCAAAGTTTGATGATGTGTTTTCCAACACCTATTCCCATGCCAGATGACCCATTTCTAACCCAAGGGCCCCCAAATTCTCTTTTGGCTTAAAACTACAGCACTGCTTTTTCTGTATGTAGCTAACACTGATAGTATTTCAACAGGAAGTGGTATGGGGGTTCATGAGGCAGGGTGTCTTCCTGTTGCCCGGTTACTTACAAAAAGGCAGATTCTCTTAATACTTAAACCGTTTGCCACAGGACTAACATGCATGCCTCTACAGATAATAAATGAATGAAATGGATCATTTCCAGTCTCAAAGCTGTATGATAATTTAACTTACACAAAAGCTGAAAGAGTTGTAGAAACAGAGTCCATACTTAATCCATACACTATAAAAATCAAAAAGAATTGTTTCATATCACAGAACTTAGATCAGTCACAGAGTCAAAGATTTTTGAGCCAATGTGATCCCAAGGGCCCAGGCTCCGTACAGTTAATCAAAAAAGTTTCTTTCAACACTGGAAAGAAAAACGATCACTTTCTCCTTATTTGCCCTTAGAAATTTACTGCCAAAAAATGGATTCGGATCAATATCAGATATGCTGTGAATCATAAATGCACTGTGACTCTCGTTGAGGCACAACCCACAGCCAGATGCCCCCGGTGTACCTGGCAGCATATGCCAACTCTGTAGGTTCATGGAAGCAGAAAGGTAAACCTGGGCCCACACCTCCCTGAGCTGAAAAGGCACAGACTCTCTGAGTTTAGCTAGATGACCTTTCCAAGTGATTTATTCATCAGATATGTATGGGAAAATATCAAGCTCACAACTGCTTTTTTATGAAAAACTCATTTAAAAAAATTTTTTTTAACTTTTTTCTAAACTTCTTGGACTTAACCCAACGATTCTATTTTGCATTGTGTTACCCTTGGTCTTTGTAGGCAGATCCTAAGTAGGTTAAATACCTTGGATGTTGATCCAAGATACTTTAGACATGAGTTAAAAACACCTTATGTACACTCACCTGACCAACAAATTGGTTTAATTCTGGGATTTTACCAAATTATTTCATAATTGACTATGAGGTTCTCTAATTGTTATACATACAAGTGGACCAAATGAACTAACTTAAGAGAAACAGGTTATTACGTAAAGTTCTCAGTAGTCCTCCAGGTCGTAAATCCAGCAAAGCCACAAGTAAAT